CAATAGAACCACTCCAACTATTTGGTCCCTAGCCAAAGAAGTTGAGAAAATATTAGTATCAGAGCTTACGATAGCCAACACTACGGAATGGGACATGGAAAAGCTAAAGCAAACATTACCAGCCTTTGAACATCATATTTTCAGCATTAAACCAAGCCTCAAAGGAGCTGATGATTGTTTTTTCTGGATGGACAACAAGGCTGGCATCTACCAGACCAAGTCAAGCTACCACATGACAAAGGGAAACTCAGCACCTGCAATTCAGACTAATAATCTAGCACCTAGCTTCAACTGGAACTCAGAGATATGGACCATTAACACAGCACCAAAACTGAAACTGTTCCTATGGAAGATCCTAAGCGGTGCTCTCCCTACTGGTGAACAACTAGCCTCACGAGGCTTGACAAGTCAAGTTCACTGTGTGAAATGTGGTGCCCCAGAAATAGCTCTCCACCTATTCTTCCAGTGTGACTATGCTAAACAAGTCTGGCAGCTAGCTCCACTGAAAGATCCAATCAACCCTCTAACTTTTCCAGACATGGAATCGGGAATCACTGCTTCAAAATGCCTAATTTGCTTACTGTTGGGGTCGGATTTCACCCGCTCAACGTTGAAGTCCAAAGTTATGCAAGCGCAACGCATAGACACGAAATCGCATTAACATACAGATATTATATGATTCTCCCAAGTAATTTCCTAACAAGAAGATTAAGTCTTTCTCCTTTCCTAAGTCTTCTCCGTCCAAGAAGGCAGCCTTCTGAGTTCTCTCTACTCGCAGCAGAAGGCATGAGTGCAGTAAGGTTACAGAGACAGCGGGGACACAGCGCCAGCGAAGTCACACTGCCAACGATGTCACAGTGCCAGCGATGTCACAATGCCAGCGATGTCACACTGTCAGCGATGTCACTAACCACCAAAGACCTGCCATAGTAACGATAAAGGCCAGAAGGTTCTCTGCGTTAAAGTCCAATCCAATTACGAAGCCCGCTTCGACGCAACCGACATAAAGAAAAGGGAATCCGCGAAGACTTAGGAAAGTTAACATTATCTTTTACGGAAAAACCAAGCCGACTTAGGGACTATATCAAGTACAACCTTTGTAAAAGGGATCCGCAACTTTATTCACAAAAGCATATACAGCAATAACAAATGTTTCTCTTTGCTCATCGTTTCTTTCGTAGCTTAACCTAGAAATCTACGTTTCCTCACGAAACCCTTACAAATCTAATTGTGCTAGTTTCGACTCTCACACTTACCACCTACTGGAATAAGCCCCGGTCCCCTTCTCCCTTGGATTTGCTGGAACCTTTGGTTATCCCGCAACAACCACATCTTGAACAATAGAGTGCTCACCGTTGAAGAAACACTCCAAAAAGCAATAAGCGATGCTAGAGAATGACTTTTGGGACAAGCTCCCGATCCAAACATATCCGATTTGACCTACCAATTTTCGGAGATTCAAACAACCGAAGCGATGATGTGTTTTACGGATGCGGCCTGGAGAGACGACACAAAGACAGCTAGGCTGGGATGTATCTTCCGCAACCAAGAAAACCGAATCGTAGTCCAAGGATGAGCTACCAAATCGCATGTCTCTTCTCCCCTAATGGTCGAAACTTTGGCGATTCAGGAGGCTCTCATGCACGCAACCAAAAGAGATTTGGGTCAATTCCGACTAGCCTCGGATTCGCAAACCCAAATCAACCTAATCAACTCAAAGAAGGAGGAAATCGAGATCTATGGAATTCTTCTAGATGTATATTTTCTCTTCTGATCTAAATGTTCTTGCCTTTGATTATGTTCAAAGGGAGAAAAACAAAGAAGCCGATGCATTGGCAAAATCGGCTCTTCACTTTGTACTGGTTATCACCGGTTTGAATTCGGTTTAATGAAATTGAAAGTCTTTCGATAAAAAAAAAGCTTAAATTATACACTAATAACCTACATTACAGCTTTAACCAATCATATCTTATATTTAATAATAATGAGACTATTTTTAAGATTAGCACCAATGTTCTAGCTAGCAACTTGCGGGTGCAAATATTCTTCTTGTACTAGTTTACAACAATTGCATGTAATTTTAGTTTATGTGCAGTGTACAGCTAGGTTACTTTTCTTAGATTAGTCTTTTCTTACAATTTTTTTTTTTGAACCTTGAACATTTGATTATATTTTTCTAATTATATTTCGTTCTAAGTCCCCTTTGACCCTTTTCCAACCTTTAGGTAGATAACTAATAGTATTTTACTAATTCAATCTTGTTTTTGGCAGCTATATTTGTTAGCCGTGATCCTAAATAATGGAAAAATCTGGTGAAGGATCTCCAAAAATCTTAAAAATTTCAATTTCTTCGAGAATCAATATCTTCCTTTTTAACTTATATATTAATTGACATCTTTACACGGTACTCTTTTGAAACCCTTTCACTTCTTCCACTCAGTTCCAGTTCATTTTTTCCTATAATTGTTAATCTGCGGAATTTTCAATCGCCATGTAAATTCTGTAATGATGGAAAAAAGATTCGTCTAACATAAATTGATATCATGTAACCTTGACAATATGTCAATGATCACGATATACATATTGATAATCATCACTAGGTTTATTTTTATTTTTTTTGAATCTAAGAAAATTTTACAGTTTTTTAATCCCGTATCGAAGAGCTTTTAAGGTGTTTTTGGATCCACTTTCTATCTTTTTTTTACCTTTTTCATTTTGTTAAAGTTTTTCTTTTCAGTTTTGGATCTAAAGTTGACGAACTTGAAACATTTTAAGGGAAATTTCATATATTTCTTTTGTTATCTATAACCCTCATTATTCACATAGAAATCCTATAAAACGTATTCTCCGCTGGGTTCGTTGTACGGGACTGGTTGATCATGGAGATGAGTAGGCATTTCGATAAGAAATTTATTGCAATCTCACCATGACAAAGCAGCAGGCCGGAACACAATGACCGAATTTTCTATAGGAAACGTTTGCATACGAGAGAATTAGATTCGAACATGTAACAAATTTACGTTTTTGGACCTTTGATTTTGTCAAAAAAAATATTCCGCTTTTGATTTGGATCATGTTTGAGATTGTTTTTATTATGACAAAATGAAAATTTTAATTGTTGGTGACATAATAACTTTTGTTTTTCTTTATGTTGCATGGAAACAACTATTATGTGGGTTTGAGACTTATGAGGCTGTGCCTTTTTTCTGTAAGCAGTTTTATCTACTCAAACTATTTGCGACTTTTCAGTTTTGGTTATACTTTTTTTTTTGTTATACTTATAGTAGAATTTATGTTCAGTGGTTGAAGTTATGTTAATTCTTCAATTACTGGAGAAAAATAAAAAGAAATCTTATTATAACTCAGGCCTTTATAACTTTATTAGAATGTTCACATTAATTGTATTGATCTTAAAGATCAGACACAAAATTTCGGCTATCTGGTTTGTTTTGGTCGTTTAGGTCACATTGTACAGTTTGTTAGTGTTTTTATATATATACAAAACATTTTTCTTGCAAACAATTTTTTTTTAAACCTTATGAAATGGCAGTAGTCTATATTAAATTTTAACATTTTTTATTTGTCAACCAAACTTTCTGGATTTTTATCAATAATCTTGGTTCAAACCTGCTTTTGGTAATATACGTGGTGGTTCCAGATCATCATTTATCAAGCGTAATTAAAAGTTGACTCGAACATGTTAAAATATAGCTCTTAATCTCATTATAGTTCTTGATATGTCCTATGTAGATGGTGGTGTAGAAATTTCTTGTTGATGAACACCAATGGTGCATCCATAACTTGTCAATCATTGGATTCAGTTAATCTTCACCTAGGGTAAGGACATCATAGCAGGTGCAAGAATGGATTTGGAAGTATTTAGTGCCTAGCCTGCTCATGGTCACATCAGACAAGGTACATGATCTAATGAAGTTGTAAGAGTTCCTAACTAATTAACTACTTTCACTATAAGAAAGAAAGGTAGAATTTTGGTCTCCTTTAGTCGACTAATCATTGATCTTTTTCAGAAATAATTTCCTCATGTGTAGGTCCCTTTCTTTCTGGAAAGTTGTTGAAAAGGTTTATTTAGAGATTATACATGCATACGTCTAAGCAAATAATTAGTCTCTTTTGAATATCTGGGAAAAAAATATATTTATTTAGTGTATTTTGAGGTCCTTTTCAAAGTCTTAAGCTTTCGACAAAAAGAAGTTAGGTGTAGTGTGAGGTAGTTGAAGTAACTAAGATGAAACCCAACTATAATCTGTCCAATGTCTTTGGTTGTCTTTTCAGATATTCGGAAGGGAACTTAAACCTCAAGCCAACAAAACCCATAAAAAAAAGGTTGTCTCTGAGCTCTTATTTGGCTAATGATATGACTTATATATATACTTAGAGAATGTTTTGCGTGATAAAGAAATTGGTCACCACGACCACAGCATTAGCTATTGCAAATTCTATTCTGGGTGAGGGAAGAAACACAAACTGGTTGTTAACTTCAACTGGTACGCAGTGCATGCTAACACAACAAAAGAGAGAGAATCTATACCAAACCATAAACCTTAGAAATAATGAGATCAACGTTAAACTTTATCGTGGAATCTCCCTACTTATCTTCCGTCTTCATTCTATTCTAGGCCTCGATCTTGACCCATTTTATTCCCCTCTTGCAGATCTCAATCTTGGATTAATTATCAAGAAACCGAATCTAGTTATGCCGAGTCATACTAGGTAAGTTTGTTATTGTCCACAGAATAAGCACTGTCGTAGTTGAATACTCCACTTTCATCTACCATCGTTAAGATTTCTTGCTGTACACGAAACATACAAAAAAAAACATTAACGATATGGTTCAACACATGTTGTCTATTATTCAAGAATCATAAAAAACATAACCTCATCACCTGCTCAGGAAAAGAACTATGTATCTAAGAAGAAGGAAACAAAGGTAGATGCATCATAGGTGGCTCAGTTACATGACCGTTAATCATCTGTTGTTGATTCACCTCGAGTGAAGCAGAGGAATGCTGATGACTAGGAATCATCGTAGTGGTCGCCATAACCGACTCGTGGAATTGGAACAAACCTGGCTCTTGTGAGTTCTGCATGAACAAGCGAGTCAAGTTTTCAACTTCACCGTCGTCCTCATTATGCATCTCAAAGTTGTTATAACCAAAACTTTCCTCGGTGTTCTCGATACATGCCAACTCTGAAGTCTGATTGTGCTGATGAGTCATCACTAGGTTTCTACTGGAAACTGCGACAGAGACTCCATCATCGAGATGATGATGTCCGAGAGGTGACACAACTTGTGTCATGAGATTAGTGTTCGTGATTTGTTGTTGATGAACACAAGGTTGAGGGATGTTGTTGATATGATATGTTGGGAATTGAACATCTCCTCTTCTGTAGAAGTCGGTTGCTTCTTCTCCACCATACATTTTTCTCTCTTGTTGAGATGTTAAAGATAGAATCCTTTCTCTCTCTTTCTGTTCATTCTGTTTCTTCAAACTTATCCGGAATTTCTATACACCCAATTTAAAAAAGAAAAAAAAGAAAGTAAAAAGATTAATACAATATATTTATGACATATGTACACAAAATAAGTAGGGCAGGGAGAATTTCAAAACAAAATATTATATTACTGGAAACAAAATAACTAAAATAAGGTTTCTGTTCAATTATA